AGTGTCTCCTGCATGCCCAGGATTATGCTAGATCTCAGGGGGACATGAAGTGTAAGAAAATCCTTCCCAATTTCACAGAGAACACAGAACTTATATATAAAATATAGCAAAATATAGCTCATTCTAGAATTCAAGGACCTTTGCTATTTGGCCCTCTCTCCTTTCTCTGTCTCTGTCTGCTTCCTCTCTCTTCTTCTCTCTCTCTTTCTCTCTCTGCTTTTCTTTTTCCTTCCTCTCTCTTCCCCTCTGTCTCTGCCTCTCTTCTTCCTTCTCTGTCCTCCTCCTCCTCTTCATCCTTCTTCTTCTTCTTTTCTCTCTGTCTTCTTCCTTCCCTCTCTCTCTATGTATCTGTCTCTGTCTCTGTTTCTTCTTCTTCTCTCCCTGTTTCTCTCTCCTTCCTCTCTCTGTGTCTCTCTGTCTCTGTCTTTCTCTCTCTGTCTCTCTGTCTCTCTCTGTGTTTCTGTCTGTCTCTCTCTTTCCCCTCTTCCTCTCTTTCCCTCCCCTCCCTCTTTTTCCTCCCCCTGACTCCCTCACTATCCAAGTTAGCATCTTCTGTCTCACCACTTCCTTCCCTGCATTCTCCACTCCAGCCAGGTGGGTCTCTTTATTGTCCTCTGAAAGTACTTTAACACTTTCTGCCTACTCCTCTTCTCTCAGGCTATTGCCCCGCTTCCTGAAGTGCCTCCTTTCTTCTCTCTGTATTCTAGCTCTCCTTCAAAGCCCAGCTCAAGTCCTATCTCCTATCCTGCCTCCAAGGTTTACATGTGTGACCTCAGACAATCTCCTTAACTTTCCTGGTACTCAGTATCCTCATCTGTAGAGTGAGAGGGTTAGACTAGAGGGCCTGTGAGGTCCCTACCAACTCTAGAGCTATGCTCCCATGATCTTCCATGAAATGTTCCCCGAGCACATAGCCCATGGAGCTTTCTTCATCTTCCAAGTTCCTGGACACTAGCCCAGACTCCTAAATCTAGACCTTCACAGGGCTTCCAGGGCCAAGAGCCAATTCTGATGGAGCCCAGTGCTATCTGGTAGAAGGATGACTAGGATACACAGGCAGCATGGGGAAATGGCACGAGACTTGGACTTGGAACAGAAGACCTGGATTCAAGTTCCAACTCTCACTTAATAGCTGTACTTCAACTCTCTGGGCATCAATTTCTGCATCTGTAAAATAAGGGGATTAGACTAGATCACCTTTAAAGTCCCCTCCAGTTTTATTCTAGAGGAAGGCTGAAAGAGGGAGGGCTGGAGGCCAGACTACAGCCCAGGGAGAGGGTGGGAGATGACTGAGCATGGCCATCTGGCTCCCCATTTCCTAAGAAGGGATCGCCAGTGATTCTTTTGCATCAAGGCTCAGCTCAAGGGCCATCTCCTAGAGGTGGGAGGTGGGAATATCTTGAGAATAGGGATTGTCTTTTGCCTTCCTTTGTGTCTCCAGTACTGAGCACAGTGCCTGGCATACAGTAGAAACTTAATAAGTGCTTATTGACTGATTTTCCAAGGTATTAGTGCCACAAATTGCTTTGTATTTATTCTGTCTGTATTTGCTATAAGAGAAACAGCCCTTTGGGTTTAGGGACCTTCTTCCCTCTGAATAATCAGTGCTCTGAATAGAGAGGAAAGGGGAGAGATATAGACCTGGGGCTCCTGGAAAAATTGGGTTGCCTTTCCCAGCTGTCAGAACGGAAGTGATAGGACTTCAATTGACTTATGTGAGTGGACACCAGGTTCTACCATGCAGCCAGGCACTTACTCTGTGTTAGGCACTGTGCTAAGCTATGAGGAACACAACAAAAGGCAAAATACTGTCCTTGTTCTCAAGGAGCTCATGTTCTAACAGTGCTACTTCCTCACCAGGAATCATTCACAGCCCATTGGAGCTTTCAAATTCCATTGGATTTCTTACTGTAGCCCTTTTGGATTTCTTCACTGGATCCCTCATTTGATTTCTCATGGCATTTTCCCCACTAGATTTCTCACTGGATTTCCCCCACTGAGTGTCACTATTTAATTTAACATTGGATTCCCCAACTGAATTCTTCACTGAATGTCTCCTTGGACATCTCACTAGGCATGCTCTCCATCTCAAGTGCCAAGGTGTCCCCTTCTCTTACCCTCCACACTCCCCACCTCCCCCCCCCCCAAATCCCCTACCATTCACCACTGAATTCTCCAGCAACTGGAAATGGCTCTGGGGTCAGCCACTAGAGGGCAATAGTCACAAATACTTGAAGGCTTCCAACAAATGGGGGGAGGGGTGAGAGGTAGGGTAGTAGTAACGGTGGTAATGGTAAAAGAACCTTCCAATCCAGTGATTCTCCAACTGGGAGTCTGGTCCATGCTCTGGCTGTGGAAATAGAAAGGGACAAGTATTCTGGAAAAGTAAAGAAAATGGTGTCTTCAATTCTGAGAGTAGAAAAGTTTCCAAATCCCTAGAAAATTAAAGTAGGGATGTTCAGGGCAGGAATTAGGGAAATGGGGCACATTCTAGGGTAAAGAATGGAGGGTTAGACAAATTCAACCTATAGGCCATGTGAAGAAATTATGATTTCAATGGTGGAATTACATATCACACTATAGATTAATATCAATAACCAGGAACTGAGTATTCCCTTAGCATTTACCTGAAGTAGACCAATCTAAGAGGAGGAGATGTAACAGTGATCAATGTAAAGTATTCTACTCAGGTTCAAAAAATCAACTGCAAAAGTACAAGATTAGGAAAGACAACAAGATTAGCTGAACAACAGTTCCCTTGGTGGTGGAGGGGTGGTGAGAGATCTGGGGCATTAAAGAAGTGAACTGTAAGTTCAATACGCTACCTGTGTAGTATGGCAACCAAAAAGGCTAATGTTTCCCTAGGCTGCATTAAAAGAAACAGCATCAAGAACAAGGTACATGATGTGTCATTTGCTCGGGTCAATGCTACAGCTGAAGTATTTAGTTCTAGAAGCCACATTTTTTGCTTTGTCTTTGGATCCCTAATGCTGGGACAATAATCCAATAAGGGTTCCTGGGGTCAGGGACACAGCAGGTGCTTAATAAGTGCATATTGAATTGATTTTAATTGAAGGACATTGGCAAACTCAGGTGCATCCAGAAGGTGTGGAAAGGACTGCAGACTGACATATAAGCATCTGTCAAAGGAATTGGAGATGTTTAGCCTGGAGAAGAGAGGTGATGGTAGATATAAGGGTTGGGTGTTAAGAGAAGCAGGACATAGATTTTTATTTAGAGCTGGAAGAAATGTTAAAAATCATCTAGTTAAATCTCATTTTAAACATAAAGAAACTGAAACTCTGAGAAGTAATTTGCCCAAGGTCAAACAACTAATAATTGGCTGTGCCTGGATTTGAACCTTGGTCTTCCAACTCCAAATCTAGTATTCTTTCCACTTCTCCACAAAGAAGAGAAGGGAGGTAAGAGTTGCTAGACTTGGCACCAGAGGGCTGAACTAGGAAGTCCTCAGTGCTTGATCTTCCATCCTGGGCCAAGAAGAAAAACTTTAATCCCTGTTTTTATATGACAGCTCTTCAGATATTTGAAGATGGAGATCATGTTCTTCCCCCTCTCCTTTCACTCATTCCACCCCTCCCCCCACCAAAGTCTTCTCTTCTCCTGGTTAAACATCTTCAATTTCTTCAATTGATCTTTCTATGGCACAGTTTCAAGATACCCCTTAATATGCTGATCAGCCTCCTCTGGATGCCCTCCAGTTTGGCAATGCCTGACTTCAACTTGGCACCAGAGGATAGACTACACCAGCCTTCTATGTCTGTTAAGGTCAGGTGTGGGGTTGGGTCCTCAGATTTAGGGGATGTAATCTTTGGAAGGCCATTAATATAGGGATGTTTTCCAGTTCAATTCTGCCTTCCACAGGCAACTTTGCTCTTCTCCTGACCCTATTTTCTTTCCAGTGGTGCCCCCCAATTCCTTTATTTTTAGAATTGGAAACCCCTCCCACATGTGAGTTGGTAAAGTATGCTTCTATCTATTCCCTGCTGACTCTGGAAACACCTACCTACAGGGTGAATGTGGGTGGGTATATTCATGTGTATTCTCCCTAGGTTTTTGTGACACTTCTTTATTCAGTTTTCCTCCTGCCTGTATGACCAATCCTTCCCAGTATCCTCTACTGAATCATCATTGAAGTCCTACTTCCTTTGTGGGACTATACCCCAGGGCTTTATCCTGTGCCTTCTTTTCTTCTTTTCCTATGGCCTCTGGGTGATTTCATCATCTTCTACATATTCAATTATCATCTCTGTGCAAATAACTCAAAGATCTATATAAACAGACCCACTCTCTCTCTTGAGCTCCAATCCTATATCCCCAACTGCCTATTCGACTTTTTGAACTGTGCATCCCATAAGCATTTAATCTCGACTTGTCTAAAACAATTAATTATACCCTCCATTCCATAGCCCACCCTTCTTCTAAATTCCCTATTTCTGTTGAGGGTACCACCATCTTTGCAGTCATCAGAGCTATCGTCAACTCCTCCCTCTCCTTCACCACCATATTCTATCACTGGCCAAGGCCTGGCATATCTACTTTTACACCATTTCTCCTATCTGTCCTCTTCTCTCTACTTACATGGTTAACTTTCTAGTTAATGTCTTCATCACTTCTTGCCTGAACTATTCCAATAACTTCTTGATTAGTCTCCCTGCATCCAATCTCTCCCATCCCCAAACCATCTTTGAAAGAGGTGCCATAGATATTCCTAAAGTATGAGTCCGAATATAGCAATCTGCTACTTAAGAAGCTTTTCGGTTCCTTGCTGCTTTGAGGATAAAACACAAGCTCTTCTGTTTGGCATTTAAAGCCCTTCACAATCTGTTTCCAGCCAATGGTTCCAGGCTACTTATACATCATCCCTCTTTATACACTCTAGATTCCCAGCCAAACTGTTCTATTTACTGTTTGGTATGCAACATTCCATGTTCCATCTTCATGCCTTTGCACAGGATATTTTCCATACCTGGAATGTTCTACCTCCTCACCTCCAGCTCAGAGAATTCCTAGCTCCCTTTAAAGCACAGTTCAGGGGCCTTCTCTTATGGAAGGCTTCTTCTGATCTCTTCAGTTGTGAATTCCCTCTCCCTCTGCCCTGACAGTTAGTTTGCATTTACTCTGTCTTTCTATTTCAAGTCAGCGAACCAGTCCAGAACAGGTCATATTCATAAGCAGGAAAGAGTGGGAAAAATTATCCATTTACTATCCCCACCCTCTCCAAACAAAGTGGGAGGGATGGATGGAGAAAGAGAATCAAGGAAAGAGAAAGGAAGAGATGGATACATAAATGGATGGAGAGGTAACAGAATTTATTTCCAGGGAATTTGATAATCAAAGGCTATGTGGAGGGGAGAGCTTCTGCAAGGAAGAAGAAAGGTCAGACAGTTTCTATCCTATCCATCAGTGAATCCTTTCTTTCCCAATATATCTCCGCATTAGTTATAAATGCCACTCTTGTAATTCCCAAAGGCTTCTTTTCAGGAAACCTCAGTTATAATCTTGTCCCTGGCATTAATGAACTGTTTAAAATTGGGTAAGTCGCTTCCTTTTTCTGGCCTCAGTTTTCCTATTTGTAAAAATAAAGGAGTTGGGCATATATCCTTAAAAGGTAGAAATAAAGGTCCTACCTACACCAAAGTATTCCTAGAATCCCTGTTTGTAGTAGTATAGAAGTGGAAACAAAGTAGTTTCTCATCAATTGGGGGAATGGCTGAACATGTGGTATGTGAATATAAGGGAATATTACTGCATCATATGCAAAAACAAATAAGCATGGGAAGACTTATATGAACTGATGCAGAAAGAAAAACAGAATCAGGAAAACAATGTATATGGTGACTACAACAATGTAACAAATAACCAAATGTAAAAAAAGAAATTGAATGCTATGTAATATGTTGGACAATCCTGGCCTTGACCCTAAAGAAAAAATGATGAAATGTAGGTGTCCTTTCTTTGAAAAGGTGGGAGGCTATAGGTAGGGATCTTGCATACACTGACAGAATTGGTTGATGTGTGGCTTTAGTTTGCTAAAGTGTTTTTTCTCTTATTCTTAATAACAAGAAATAGCTGGGGGAGGTACAAAGAGATACATCTGGAGGCAAAGGTGATACAAAAGCAAAATATGTTAATCAAAATAAACATTAAAAGTAAAGACATTGGTCTGGATGAACTCTAGTCCAAATCTAACTTATGTTCTCTTCTTTTTTCCCTTCTCTCTCCCCATCTCTTTCTTCCTTTTTGTTTACCCTCTCTTCTTGGCCAGAGTCAGTGCCAGGGCTAACAGCTTGCCTTGGCTGGGAGCAAGAACAGTGTGGGCAACAGAAGCAGGTAGGTTGTGGTTCTTAGCTGCCCACCCCCACCTGCCCCAAACCTGGGCTGAGTTCCCTGGGCCCAGGCAGGGGTGGCTTTGGCTGGGGCCTAAGGACATCCCTTCCATCTGCCAGGGATTGAATCTTGCCCACCCTAGTGTAGGGTCCCTGCTGCCAAAATTTGGGTGGTTGCCCATCCCTAGCCTGGCTTCCTTCCTCTTCCCTCTGTAAAAAAGTATCCATTCCATCCCCCAACACCAGGGGCAACGGTCTTCACAGCACATCCCCTCAGGCCTCCAAAAGCCTCTTTCAAAGAGCCAGACCCAGTGAGAATCAGGAGCCAAGGGATTGGGGAAAGGGGCCAGGCATCCTATCCAGAATCACCATGGCCCAGTGAGGCCCAGAAGGCTAGCAATATGGTGCAGCAGGGATGTACAAGGGCTCCGGAAAACCAGCCCCAGGCTTCTCTAGGTTTTTCCCAGCCCAGGGCATCATGCAAAGGCAAGTGTAGGCAACAGAAATAGGTAGGCTGTGGTCCCTTCTACTGTCCACCTGCCCTAGGCCTGGGCCAAATTCCTATTCAGGAAGTTCAACAGGGAGCCTTCCATACCAAGAGAATCCCTGGCATTGGCACAGAGTCCCTCTGAAGGAGGGATGAGCTAATACAGGAAGGCTATCAGAACTGGAATCAACTTGGAAGCCCCAAACATGAACCTGATTGCCCAGCTTCCGACTTTAATCATGATAATGGAATGGGGTTTTAGCAGTAGAGAGGTCATTGGAGATCACTGATACGGAAACTGAAGCTCAGAGAGCTAAAGGGACTTTCCATGGTACCTTGGTGATAGAACCAGGAGGAGAACTCAGGCCTGCCACCTCCCAAGCCAAGGTACGGTCCTGTTATTTAATGCTATTGAGGAGAAGGGTAATGGGTTAGACAGACTGTTTAAGGTTGGCCCATGGCTCTCCCTTCTGCGAAGTTTCTCATCCCATTCAGTCAGTCTATCAGGAAGCTGTGATCTACCCAACACGGGAGGCTTGCTACCCAACCTGCTGCTGATCCTCCTTCTCTCTCTCAGAAGCAGTGACCATCCACACCTGAATATCAACAGGCTAAGCCCTAATAAGCTATAGCTGACAACTGGCATGAAGATTAGGCACGTGGGTGAATGAATAAATGAGCAATGTATTGGGTATTTACGTGCAAAAAAGCCCCACCAGGCTTCAATTTTTATGTAATTGGCTGAAATATTTTTCAAATTATATTGTCAGTAGTATGCATGAAATTTTCATCTAAGACAAGACTGTTTTGGCTTCCTTAATATAGAAGCATCACTTTGTCTTTGTTTAAGTCTGACGGTAATAATTTTTTGAGGGGATGGCTGAGAAAGGTAAACAAGAATCAGTACAGTGTATCCCAAAAGTTTTAAGCTTAAAACTGAATTAAGACTTTAGGGACAAGTAACTACAAAACACTTAACATTTACATAGTGTTCAATATACCTGATCTCTGTTGATCCACACATTCACCCTGTAAAATAAATACTGTACATATTATTATTCCCAGCTGACAGATGAAGAAACTGAGGTTCTGAGAAATTAGGTGACTTGCTTGCCCATGGCTCCACAACTGTGCACAATGGATAATGATGCTATAAGAATAGCCCTCTATACCAAGCCTGTTGTTTATGTGGACCAATTTCCTTCTCAGCTTGTCTCCTGAATCACAGAAGAGACCTTGGAAGCTGTCAAGGGATCCCTTTTGCAATATTCCTCAGCTTTCTCGAGGTTCACTCAACAACCTACAGGCTTTAAAGGGGAACCCATCAATTCTTATTTTCCTTTTGGATAGCAATAAGGATCAGGGAGTTTTCCTTATATCAATCTTAAATATGCCTAGGGTCACTCTGTTCTGGGCAGCAGGCCTGGGACCCTGCTCCCACAGCTTCTGGAGAAGCCAAGAGCATATTCTAGGCTAAGCAAGGCTTACAAGCCAGGGGCCTACCCTGTCTCTCAATCACTGTTGCCAGAAAGCCCTGTGTCCCTGGCTTTCCCTACTCTAGTGGCCATCTCATGTCTCACCCCATCAAGTGTCTGCTGTTACACTGAATCCAGGCAGCTACATGGGGCAAGGGTAAGTCCTCTGGGCCTGGCCATGGTGGGACCTGCTTTCTATTTTACTCTAAACCTGAGCAGAACCAGAATCACAGAATTTTGGGGTTGGAAGGACCCTCAGAGGCCATCTAGTTCAAACCAGACCAGCAGAGAAATCTCTATAACATTCCAAAGAGTATTCACCTAGCCATTGGTTGAACCCACCACCTCCTTAGGCAATCCATTCTACTGGGAAGCTCCAATTGTCAGGAAGTGTTTCCTTCTATTGAGTCTAAACTGGACTCTTACTTGGTTAGCATGCAGACTTCCCAAAGCATCACTTTGGGAGTCTTTGTTATACTGAATTCTCACCCTAGACAAAAACAAAACAAAAATAAAAACACATGCAAACAAAAATACTGACTGGATTTCCCTAATTTCACCTTATGGGGTGGGGAATCCAAGTTGGATTCAGTCAAAGGGTCACACTTGAGGACCTAGAGGGCCACCTGTGGCCTCAAGTTTGCAGGTTCCCAACCCCTGTACTAGGCTCTCATCCCTATCCCAATAGGGATGATCTAGGTGCCATCCACCTTTATCTTTTACCTTTCTTCGTGTCCTCAGAGCTTAAAAACAGTGTCTGGCATATAGCAGGTGCCTAATAAATGTTTACTAACTGACTACCAGGTAGTTGTGTATTATAGTGGGTAGAGCATTGATCCTGGAGTCAGGAAGACCTGAGTTCAAGATCCTGCCTCAGATGCTAACTAGCTGTATGACCCTGGGCAAGTCACTTAAATTCCCTCAGCCTCAGTTTTCTCATCTCTAAAATGGGGATTATAATAACATCTACCTCAAAGGATTGTTGTGAGGGTCAAAGAAGATCACACACAGGTAACAGGTTCCACAAAGCTCAAAGTGTGATATAAATCATAGCTGTTATTATTGCTAGCTTCTTCTACTGTGCCCTTTGCTCCATTATGAAGAAATCGCCCTCTATCTCTGACCTTTTCTTCGTCTGCTTCTTCCCCCTTCTAGAATCAAGTAAGCCCGACTCTTCCTGGAGCAGCCTACTTCACCCACTCCTCTGATGTTCAGGACATGATTCAGAAACATCCTACTGCTGCATCTAGGAAATTTCTGGCCTCTCGACAGCATCTCCTTGGAAAGTCATGCCATCCTGTTAAATATCCTCTCTCTGTCCTTGTTACAGGCTGTCACCTAGGATATCTAACAATTCAAGTTATCCCAACATGAAATGAGAGGTCTTCAAACACAGGTCAGGTGGCCACTTGCTGAGAATGAAATAGAAAGGATTGCTGTTCAGGTCTGGGTTGGACTTATTGGCCCCTGATGTTCCTTCTAGCTTGGAAATTCTGTCAGTCTTCAATCAGAATGACCTCTACTCACACCCACAAAAATGGCCACATGCTAACCCATGCTCCTCTACCTCTAAGATCCTGAATGCTGAAATTCTTTCTTTCTGACCACAATTGTCCACCCTTCCACCTCTCCCACTGCCTCATTCCTCCTGACTTTTCTCAGCGCCTTGATTTTGACCTCTGCTCCCTCACTCCTCCTTATTTTCCCAACTTGCCATCCTCTCTCTGGCTTTTCCTTCTTCCCTATCCAGCTTGGCCTCTGAAATCATGGCACTTGAAGAGTGCCACTTTTCCTTCCTTCCCGCTGGCCTTTTACTATTTCTGCCTTCCTTGTTGGAAACCCTGGCTCACCACTTCCATCCATCGTCTCTGCCCCTGCTTTCAGGCTATTGAGAACTGCTGGAAGAAACCAGGAAACCACGGCTATTTAATCCATTCTAGTCTGATTCTTCGCAACCATAGCTGGATCTTTGCTACCAGTGTCATGAGCATCTGCTGCCTCCCTATTGCAGTCCTCCCAGGATCTATTCCAAACTTTCCCCTCTCTGCTTACAATCTCAGTAATAACTCCAACCTCTGGCAGTAAATAAGCCCCATACAAGGACCTAGGATAGAAACCTGACTGCTCCAGGAGGCAACTTGCCTGTTTTCCTCAAATGCACCGGTGCTAAGGCTACTCTTAGCTGTCACTGCAGAGTAAAAGAGCTGTTTGCCTTCTGAGAAGCCTGGTCCCTCACCTGAGGACAGCAAGAACAATATAGTAACAAAGAGCTGTTTATATCTTTACAGAACTTTACTTTCACCAAGTGCTTTCTTTGAAATAACCCTGTGAAGTATTATCCTCACTTAAGCTGATGGTTTAATGACTTGCCTGAGGTCACACAAATGAACACTGTGGGCAAAATTCAATAGGTTGACCCTGAATAGGGATGAATGTAAAATCCTGTACTTGGGTTCAAAAATCAATAACATAAGTATAATATGGGAAAAATATCCCTGGACAAGAGTTCATATGAAAAGGACCTGGCATCTTAGTGGACTTCAAACTCACTATGGTTCAGCACTGGGACACGGCAACCAAATTAACAACAATAAGAGCTAGTACTTAGGGGCAACTAGGTGGTGAAGTAGATAGAGCACTGGCCCTAGAGTCAGAAGGACCTGAGTTCAAATCTGGCCTCAGACACATAACACTCATAACATGTAACAACTAGCTGTGTGATTCTGGGTAAGTCACTTAACTCCAATTGCCTCACCCCCCCAAAAAAAAAATAGCTAGCACTTATATTGTACCTTAAGGTTTACAAAGCACCTTACATTACATTACATTACATCACATGATATGATATGATATGATGTTATATTATGTTGTATTATGTTGTGTTGCATTATGTTATGTTATGTCATTATATCATACATCATAGCATGTCATGTCATGCTGTTATGTTATATATTATTATAGGTACCATTTTATAGATGATGAAACTGAGACTGAGAAAGATTTAATGCCTTGAGCAGGATCACACAGCTAGTATCTGGGGCAGGATTTGAACTCAGTTCTTCCTAACTGCAAGTCCGACACTCTAGCCACTGTGCCAGCTAACAATTTTTTTGCCTAATGTAAAAGAGCTTGTGCATCCTAAGGCAGCATCGGTAGAAACATGGTGTCCAGAATGAGGAATGTCATCCTCCCACTATCATCTGCCTCAGTTAGACCTCAGCTACACTGTTGTCTCAGCAAAGGCTGAGGGAGGACACAAAAGCTGGAGGTGGGGATGGGATTTAAAACTAGTCCAAAAGAAGGCTGTTCAAAGTAACTAGAGGGATTTAGTCCAGGGGAGATAGGACTTAAGGGTTATATAACAAATGCCTTCAAGTAGCTAAAGAGTTATCATGTAGAAGAAAGGGACACATTTTGCTTGGTCCTAGATCCTAGAAGTCAGAATGAGAGACAAGGGGTGGAAATGGTAGGAAGGCAGATTTCTGTTAGACATAAAGGAAATAGATATAAGAGTTAGAGCAATTCAGCAGTCTCCTCTGGGAGATACCAAGCCCACTGGAAGTATTCCACAATTGGTTGGGTGATCACCTCTCAAGGGTGCCATAGTGAAGACTCTAACACTGTGTGGGAGGTATTATTAGAAGACTTCAGAAGTCCTTTCTAGCTCTGAGATTCTAGGAGGCTACTGGCTTCCTGTGGGCACCCACATGAGGTCCAAGTGATGAGAAGAGTTGGTTTAGATCAGTAGTTCTCAAGTTGTTTTTTTTTTATCTCTGGACCCCTTTACACATCTTAAAAATTATTGAGGACGCCTTCTCCCCAAGAGCTTTTTATTTGTATGGGTAATATTTATCACTATTTCCTGTATTAGAAATCAAAATATCTTGGTATTGTTATGAAAATAGTTGTCTCAGAGACACCCTGAAAGAGGTCCCTGGACCACACTGGTCTTCATGATCTCATAGCCCTGAGTCATTCCAGGAGCCCTTTAACCTGAAATACATGCATCATTCTAGGAGTTCAGTAAGGAATAGCCTTGCTTGAAAGAATTATAGAGGATTCCTGGAAGGTTCTTTCCAGGCCAGCTGAGATTCTGGTCGTGACCAGCTGAGAGCCTTCTGCTAACTTGAGAAGAGAGAGACAGCACAATGTAGGAGACAGAGCCTAGGACTAGGAAAGAGAAAATCCAAGTTCTTGTTGAATTTTGCCATTATCCAGCTGCAGTCTTGATAAGGTCCTTTTGCTGCCCTAGGACTCGGTTTTCTCCCAATCTATGGCACCAGCCAGACATCACATGCCAGAGTCTCACTTGTACATCATTGTGATGTGTCAGACAAATCATCTCACAAACTGTGAGTGCGCTCCCCTCCTTCCCTCAAACTCAGAAATAGCTCTCAATCTGCCAGTCTTCTTTATAGACAGATCAGGTGAGGTTTCACATATCATGGACATGTCTCCACAAAAGTCTCCCTGTCCAATCCAATTCAATTCAACAAGCATTTGTTCAGTGCCAACATGTGCCAGATATTATTTTAGGTGCTAGAGATACAGAAGAAAATGGAAATAGGCCCTGCCCTCAAGAAGCTTGCATTCCACTGGGGAATACTACATATACAGATAGGTACAAGCAAAGTAATTTGAAGAAGGAGCTAAATGTCTGAGGACCAACCTAGCTAAATATGTCTAGCTATATACATGAGCATTACTAGAATCTTGGCTGCTAGGCAAAAAAAAAAAATGGGAGATGGGGTGGGGTGGGGCAGTGCAAAGTAAACTATGAAACAGAAAAGATACAAAATGGCCTCAAGTTCTGGGTGGTGCTTTTCTACTTCTATATTAATGATGTAGAGTGGCATAAAGAAGGACAGAATTCTCCATTTCTTAGGTTATCTTCAAGCATTGATTTAATTATTAACATCCTTTGGGGGGGCAATAAAAGCCAACTTATCTTTATCTAAAAACAAATAGCATTATAAAAATACAAACCACAAGATTTAAGGGTAAATGATGTCAATTCATCAGGAAGAGATGAGACAGGGGAGGAGTTGGGGCCAGGAAGTGAAGAGGAAATAAGTTCACCAGGTGCATACTACTGTAATTCTTAACATGAAATATCTTCCCAATGAACAAGTCTATCTGCTATTGGAGGTTCTGAACTACTTCCATATTGAAATACTTGCTAATAATGAAATCAAAAGACACGAAATTACAGCTAAATAGAATGACAGCTCACAGCCTCTCCTCTGAGAGGTGAGTAAAGGAACTGGAAACATTGTTTTCATCGTGTGTTCCAAGACAAAAAGAACCATCTTTTTATGGATGATCACCTTGCCTTGAAGTACTCACAGTGAACACTAGCAAATAGGTCACTGTCAAAGTGATTACAACTTATGCACCAATATTTGTTACAGAGAGTAAAATAAAGTCCCTGAGCAACCAGACAAGTTCCTCCAATCCAAATCAATGCATACCTTGATATACTTTATATGTTTTGATACCAAGATGGGCACAAGGGAAGATAAACAAAAGTAATTTGAAAATCCAGTTTGGAACCATATGAAAGAGGACAAAGACATATAAGTTACTCTGAAGTCAAACATCAATATTGCATGAATACTTTCTTTAAGAACACAAGTGAGAAGATGTGGCAAGCAGCAAACGTGACCAAAAAATGAAATTGATTATTTTTGTATAGGAAACCACAAATTACCAATGTTGTCAAGGCATTTTAGAATCATCTGTATGTGTGCACTTGGAATGTTCACTGGTTGGAGTCAAACGTAAAATTCATTGCCTAATTACAAGAAAGGATAAAGATGAAAAGATATGTTTTGCAGTTATGGCAGCTCCAACTCAACCTGTTTGAAGAAGCTTTTGACTCTGCAAAAAGGGAAATGGACAAAAGTTCATTTCCAATTCACTCATTATCATCATCTCTTTGGGGAATTTATACAATGCAAAATAGTCACCACAACAAGGAGGCAGAAAACCCCCAGAAACCAGCCACCTTAGCCTGCAACTCTTGATCTCCTTGCCAAGAGGATGGATACTGAGGACAATACCTATTCAGCATACGAATTCATTTGCAAAGCATTATACAGGAAAAGGGCAAAAGATCATAAACCAAAAAGCTCTTTTTCAAAAAAGGCAAAACAACCTCAAGAGACTACCGAAAGTTTGGTGACTAATCCACGTCCTCAGGTAACTGAAAAGGGGCACCTGGGCTGGGGTTTTAATGGCTCTCTATGCTCATCAGTGATAAAAATGGAACTACCACACTGTCTCTCTACCACCTCAATACCTATATGTTATGGGAGAGAGTAGAGAGAGTGACGGTGGCCCTAAAGGAAATTCAGTTGGGAAGATCAACTGGATCTGACCAAATACAAACAGAAGCAATCCACATTGAAGGTGATGCATATTTAAAAACAGTCAGGCATCAATTCTCAAGAGATCTTAAAGGAAAGAAATTTTTGAAATAAAGGAAAGGACTGTGGCCATGGATAATATTGAGAGAGACAGACAGACGGAGAGACAGAAAGAGACAGAGAAAGAGAGAGAGAGAGAGAGAGAGAGAGAGAGAGAGAGAGAGAGAGAGAGAGAGAGAGAGAGAGAAAGAGAATCTGTAACTACCAACTCACATACATTCTTATATATAAAAGATCTTTATGATAATGGCCTATGTGGCTATTAAGGGAATGTTTGAGGAAGAAATGAGAAGGAAATCAGCAGGATTTCACAGACAATCTCCCACAGATCACATCTTCACAGTCACAATATTGACTGAGTAGTATACACAATAAAATATCCTACTGTGCTTGTTGTTTGTTGATTACAAAAAAAAATGGACTGAATAGAGCAAAAAAGACATTAAAAACTCCTTAAACAACATATCTCCCATTTCTATGTTACAATCATACAAGATTCTAAGAATTCTAAGATTCTGCCAGGAAAACATCAACAACAACTTTGTTCAATGTGTTGAGTTTTGACATTTAGTAAAGTACCAGAGAGGCTATAATCCCTGGTAGGCAGTACTATTGGAAACGATACTTGTTTTTTGATACTTGCTACAGCTTCTTTTACTCCATTAATATGTATTAATATAATTTTAAAAATATTTTTTGTTCACCAAAAGTTTTTGTTGGTGTTGTAGAGGAGGTCCTTTGTGGAGCCCAAATGGATGAG